CCGAGCTTACTTAACGCCTCATATGTGTGTGTGCTTATGTGGTCATGACCAAAAAAAAGACAAACCTGGAAATACAACTGAGTCCCTAAGTGCCAAGTCAAGACTCTCCAAATAGATGTGTTTGCTTCTTTGTTGCTGTTTTTAGAATTTTCTCTCTTTAGAACCGGACTGGCCTCTAGTTCCCTGTTCTATCGTCCAAAGCTATTCATGCCAGTTATTATTCAGTCTCTCTCCTTCTCCCTCTGAACAGGAAATTTGTGTGTTGTATCTGGATTAATTTCTGATTTTCCTCATAGCAAAAGTTTTGGCTGCAGGCTCATATATCTTGAATCTGCATGATGGAAACGATAGCCTGTGAGCAACCTTGCGCACTTTCTCCAGAGTTGGGCTGTGCCAATAGCATCTCATTGCCATGTCCTCACTCAGTGTGAGTCCCAGGGAAGACAGGAGTGATTGTTTGGCAAGGTGAGGACGTAGGAGCTTCGTGGACTCTGCAGGCCCGGTGATGCACACTCAGGGAGAGACAAGGCTTCATTTCCCACATTTCTTTCACACAAAGCATGATTATAGGGAAGTGCTTCCATATGGCCCATAGAAGATCCCAGCCAAAAACAGCTTCAGCTGGCTAGTTTCAGAGCAGTAACAGCCTTGAAGGGGCTGTAATGAAAATTAAGGACGGGAAGCACCGTTTCGACGCAGGCAGGAATCTCTGCGAACTTGAGCCTCGGCCCGAGCACATACACACACAACCTGATGACACGCCAGCAGCCTGCGGGACGCCCCCAGCTCTCACCGTGCTTCTTCACCCACGGCGGTCAGAATCTGTCTGTGCGCTCCAGGTGCCCTTTCTTTGTAGAAATTAATCAGAAATATTCCATCTTTAGGGGCTCTTAACCTGGAATGTCCTAAACCAGCATCGGGGAACTGAGAGCCCCCTCAAAAAAATGAGAATGGCAAATTTGAGGCTTATGGGTACATATGCATTTTCCTGGAGAGAAAATGCATAACTTTCAATACACTCTCAAAAGGATCTCTAATCCAAAAACTAAAAATCAGTGAGAGAGAGAGATTATGAACTACCTCACCATGAGGGAGGAACTATGAAGTACAAACAGGTAGGCCAACACGGCCAACACAGCACTCCATCCCATCACTTCCCATTGCAGGGCCTCCTCCGCACCCTTCTCTAAAAAGACTGGTTTCTTGACCCAATTTCACTCAGCTTCTACCCTGCTTCAATTAGAATTATCTCAGTTTCTAATATCTCTTGGACCCTGACAAGACAATGTCTTTTCTGATGAGATTTCCACACTTTTTATAGCCAACGCTAACTCTAGGCACTTCCCCAAGACCCAAGCTGGCTATTATTTTCCCATTCAGTCCACTCACCCAGAAACCATCGTGAATTAACTCTTCACAGTACAGTCTGGCTCCTCACTGTCTTCCCAGAGCTGAGACTCTCCTCTAACTCTGGTTTCTCCTACAAGTCACTCTTTTTTGACACTTTTGACAAGGTTTTCCTCCATGTCCATCAGTAGCTCTCTTAAAAACAATACCCAGATTGACCGATTGTTGATTTAGAAATCTGTTTATAAACATCCACATTTACATTTAATGTATGTAAGAGGTACCCAAATGAGTAACATTTCTAATAAAAATACAGCTAGCATTTACTGAGCACTCTCTAAGTGCCAGATACTATTTGGAATGCTCGGCATGACTGATTTATTTAATCCTGACAGTAACCTTACAAAGGCAGTACTATTGCTGTTCCCAGTTTTAAAAAGAGAAAACCAAGATACACATGGAAGTTAAAAATACTTACTCTGCTTATATAGCTGCTTAAACAGCTAGTAAGCAACAGACCCAGGATTTAAACCCAGGCAGTCTAACCCCAGACCCCAATATCCTAACCACTTCCCTATATTGCCTTTGATAATTAATTATGAGAGATGTTCCTTAACACCTCTGGTCCTTAGTTTCCTCATCTGTAAAACGGGTTTGACAATATCAAAACCACAATGAGAAATTTCTAGTAGAATTAAATGATATGATATGCCTGAAGAGAACTTAGGGAATTATAAAGCATTATATCAACACTGGTAATAACAAAATGGATGGAATGCTATACACTTGGTTTCCCAGCTCCTTAGAAGCCCAAGTGTCACATGCCACAGTTCTGGTCAATGAGGCAAATTCCCTGGGGAGGACTTCCCTTCCTAAATAAAGAACACAGTATCAAAAGAATACCTTTTTCACTACCTTCTTCTTTATCATCTGGGATGTGGATGTGGAGTCTGAATGTTCAATAGTGACTTTGCAACCGGAGATGAAAGCCACACTCTAAGGATGAGGAAGGAGAGAGAAAGGAGCTTGGTTCCTTAAAGACACAGTAAAACAGCTTTCCCAGCCTTGACTGTCTACTCAGACTTCTTGTTAAAAGAGATACATAAACTCCTATTCTTACGAATTGAGTTTTCTGTCATTTACAGTAGAATGCATTCCTCATTGATACATCACCATTCAAAGAGCTCTCTCATGAAGTCCACGGGTGGGAACCTACACAAAGTCATGGTTTCCAATCTCAGCTAGGCCCTTACAGCTACTCCTCTACCTTTTTACTGTCTTTGATGAGTTCTTTGTCCCCCTTTCCTCGATGGGAACACTCTCAAGTCTCTGAGAGCCCCACTCTTAGCAGCCAACTCTACCCCCTAATGAATAGAGTGAAAAAAAGCCAATAGGCTAGAACCCAGTTAATTTCTCACCATGTTCTCCAACTGTATCTGTATAGTTATCCAGATCTTGACATGGTGTGGGTATGGACCCTCCTCTTTTCCTGGGTAAATCCTTCCCTCTATACATTCTCGCCGTCTATTCACTCCTCAACCCATTGCAGTCAGGCTTTGGTTTCAGCCTGAAACTCACTGAAACCACTCTTGCTAAGGTCACAAATGATCTTCAAATTGCCAAAGAGAAATTGTGGGGCCCTTACTCCAGTTGACCTTACAACTGCATTTAACATGGCTGACCATCACTTCCTTTTTGGAATTACTCGTTACTTTGGCTTCCATGATACTGCTCTTGCTGAGTTCTGCATTTACCCACCTGCTCTTTTCACTCCTCAGTGGAATTCCCTTAAACTGCTTCCCTAGCTAAATGTCTTGACTTCAGATGTTCCTCAGGATGCAATTCTTGGCTTCCTGATGTATTCTACATACTCATTTTGGGTAGACTCACCCAATTTATAATTAAATACTACCAAGAAGGGGATTTTGCCACCAGAAACAATGGACTGGTATGTTTCAGATCAACCTTTCAACCACAAACAAAATATAATCAACATCTGTTTGAAGGCATCAGAAAGGTACCAAGGTATTGAATACTTACAGGGCCAAAATTCTGGAGAGAAGGAAAATCTGGGGAGATGAGCTGTTACCTTTGATATGTGTCTCCTCTTCATGAATTTCTTACCCAAATCAACAGCAAGCATATTCACCTAACTGCTCAAACTGGAAAATTTGCATCATCTTGGCTTCTTCTTTTCCCTTATAGTCTTCATTCAAAGAATTATCAACTCTGCTGATTCTGTCTCCTAAATATCTCTCCAATCTGTTCCTTCCTCTACCTCTCCTACCATGCTACCCTGGACCAAGGCCTCATTATTTCAAACACCCTTGAGTATTTAATAAAAGCTTCCCATTCAGACTCCTTGCTTCTAGGCTCACCTCACAGGTAATCCAGCCTCCTTATGCCGCCAGAATTATTTTAGTAAAACACAAACCTAACCGTGTCACTCCACTGCTTCATTTGCTTTAATGACTTCACTTAACCTGAAACGTGAAGCACAACAATAGTGGCCTTTATGGTCGCCTCCTGAATGCCATTCTGTCTTATCTTCCACCCCATCCAATGTGCACTCAGGCATGAGCAATATATTAGTAGTTCCTCAAGAAAGCCCAGGCTTTCCTCTAGTGTCACGCCATGAACTTCGTGTTTCCTCTGCCTGGAGAACCATCCCCACCCTCTGCCCCTGGTATAACGTTCTTCCCATCGGAAGGAATAAGTAAGATCCCTATTTCATAAGTTACATCCAAATAAATTCAAATGAATACAAGATTTTAAAGTAGGAACACAAAACCATAAAAGTACTGGCAGAACACATACATGAATAGTTTTTTCCCTTTATGGCAGGGGTCAGCAAACCACAACCTGAGGGTCAAATTCATCCTGCAGCCTATTTTTGCAAGCGAAGTTTTCACTGGAGCGCAGCTATGCCCATTTGTTCATGAGTTGTCTGTGGGCGCCTTTGCTGCAGCAGCGCTGAGTAGCTGAGACAGAGACCATACGCCTCGCAAAGCCCCAACGTCTTTATTACCCGGCCTTTATAGAAAAAGTTTACTGAGCCCCAAATTAAAGGATTTTTTAAAAGGCAGATATTACTGAAATGAAAAGGTGGAAATTTCTGAATATATAAAACTTAGAAACTATTGATTCTACAAACATCAATGATATTGAAAATCAAATGACAAACCAAGAAGAGTATTTGAAATAGGTGTAACAAATGGTTAGTATTCATGATATAGTGAAAGCTCACAATAGTGAGGAAACGATCAACATCCAAATAGAAAATGAGTAAATGACTTCAGTAGCTAATTGAAAGATGAAAAAGTAAAAATGGGCAATAAATACATGATAATATTTCCTACCTTGTTAGCAATCAAAGGGAGGCAAACAAAAGAAATTGTTACTCATGGTTTACCTAAAAAATTAGCAAATATTAAAAAAAATAGTCATTCTCTGTAATGGCAAAGGTTCAAAGAAACAGGTAGTCTTAGAAGAGGGAATGGGAACAAAAATTTGATATACACAATTGGACTTTTAGAAAACCGGTCAAAAGTTCTTTCCAACTAAAAAGCTTAGCATTAGGAAAACGTTATTCCAGTCACAGACGGTCTAGACCACATGTTTCATGGTAACATTGTGTTGGGTTTAAAACCTACTTTTTTCAGGAGAAACGTGTGACTTCGATTGTCCCCGCACGAGCCTGCAGGTGGAGCCGTCGCCAGCACAGACACCACAGTTGTCCTCCTTGGCGTTACTTCCCAGCTGCCGGTTGCAGCCCACTGCCTGTGGACAGAAGCGTGGCGGTCAGGGGTGAGGGGGAACACAGGGAGGAGGAACTCTACGTCACGAACCATATTTATGGTTTTACCCTTCTTAGATTTATGAGTTGGCTTTCTTTTATGAGAACATAGTTGTCAAAATATGAATAATATAAAGCTTCAAGTATACTGTCATTTATATGATTCTTATGCAAGGACCAAATAATTAAAAGAGAAGAGCTGAAGCTACCCCTCCACACTCCCACTCTTAGTCTTTTATCTGTTACTTTTACGTATATAAATGAATGGAACAGATAATGTTTCCTCTCTACTCTCTCCCTACTTCTTCCCTCGCTTCCTGCCCTGCAGTACTCCTATTCTCTCATTTCCTCCCCAACACGACCACTCTCCTGAAGTCCATGTATATCCTTCTGGTGCATAGTTTTACTTGAAATATTTTTTTTTCTCTGTTTTTATCTTGATCTCCACATACCTATATCTCAACACCTGTATACCCATATCTCTCTATATTCCATATCTGCATCATTATTCCTTCTCTTTATCCTTATCTATACCCATACCTACATATCTCTACCTCTGTCATTGTATCTATATATTTATGTTTATAAACAATTCTGAAATGTAAGAAAGGAATTAATGAGAGAAATGTCTCATATAGAATATGCTTATATTGCTATCTTTCAGTCTCTTGTGGGTTACTACTTTTACGAGTTACGTGTGTGCGTGTGTATTTGCTAGATTATGAGCTTCCTTATATGAAAAAAAGGGCTATGTCTTATATTTCTTTTTATTTCACAAATATGTCTTTTACATAATGTGTGCCCAATAAAATTAACTAATGTGATAGTTTATATCTCTCCCTCCCATACTCATTCACTGTATTTGTATTCATATACCTGGTGTTCAAGTGCAAGGACTTTGGAAGCAGACAGCCCACTTATAAAACCTGACCTGCCCTACCACCCCTTTCAAGCTGCAGGATGTTGAACAATCCAAACTCTCAGGGACTCATTTTTCTCAAGAGTAAAATAGAAATAATAAGACATACTTCACCTAGGGGTTTAGTGAGGATTAAATGAGAAAATAGACGTAAAACTCTTAGTATAGTGATGAGAACACTATAAAGGGCTCAATAAAGCAGGTTCCATTTTCTTATCTCGCTCTGTCTTTCATGTTGTTTTGATTCCTGGGTAGATCCCCTATATGCTTCAGCTTGGGGAGTTGCTGAATCAGACTCTATGTCCAAGGTGTTGAAGAGAAAATAAAACTGGAGGAAGTTGAAACCACATCTACATACTATTCTTTCCAAAATGTTGGTGTTGAAGGGAAGGAGAAAGATTAAATGAAAGTTTCAGGGAAAGGTAGGGAGAGTTTCAAGAAAGTTTAAGGAAAAGCCTGTGATTAGAGATATTTTCAAATTCACAAAGGGCTGTCATGAGGAAAGGGTTTACGTTTGTTCGGTGTATTTCCAAATATTTAAAGCTACAGGTTTAAGCATAATTTAGTTCAATATGAGAAAGTTTGAAAAGTCAGAGTTATCCAACAATAAGTATTCAACCATGGGCTAGATCAGAAACATCCTGGAGGGAAAACTGGAGAGGGGATTAAATTATTTGATGAGTAGCTGAATCCGACGGCTTTTGAGATCCTTTCATCCCGATTATATGATTTTAAAAGAGAGTAATAAAATACTAACAATAATAGTTAACTTTTATTGAATGCTTGGCTGGCATTATGCCAAGGACTTTAGAAAAATTATTTCATTTAATCTTCACAGCAACTTTATGATATAGTTGATACCTTTATCTCTATTTTACAAATAAGGCATCTGACTGTTCCTGAGGTTAAATGACTCCCCAACGTTACACAGCTATTATACAGTGTCAGTAATGGTTTTAAACCCCAGGTCATCTGACACTGGAATCTTAACACTATGCTACACCTTCCTCACCTTTAGTATCAGCAGATGGACAATAAAGAACGCAGTTACATAGGCCATTATATTAATATTTACAAGTACATATGGAACAACTTAAGAGTGATTGATTTTGGAAACATACTTGCGTGGTTGGGATTCAATCAATGAGTAACTTGTGTTCATGCAACTTTCTCCAAGGGGAGTAATTCTACCGTCAAATTATAGAAACGCTGTTCCTGGGCCAAGCTCTGTCCTCACACATTCATGTCCCTGAGCACTCTGCATTTCATGAGAATGAGAATCAGCCTCTATCTGGTCATCCAGGAAGGGTGTGGGGTTGAGGAGCTAGGATGGGCTTGTTTTGAAGAGTGTTTACGGCCTTGCAAGATCTTGGGCAATCAAATACCTCCCTGAGCACTTATATTTGTTTCATAATTTTTTTAAAGTTACAGTTCATCCAAATCTTACAGCCAAAAAAGGCATGTGAAAACACCACAGAAAAATAATATCTGAAAAGAAGGTCTGGTTGCCTTGTGATTCAGATGGTATAAGCCAGAACTGCCCTTGAAATTGAGAGACTACTGAATTTTGGCTCTCAGATCTCATCACAATCAACAATAAGCAACTTTAAAAAATTTCTTGCAGTGTTTTCAACTTCTGTGACATCTCCTGAAGTCAAGATCTCTAATTGTAATGATCTAAAAACCACTAATTGATAATTGTATCAATGAAATTTATTAACTTCTATTAAATAACCAATTTCTATAGAGCCAGGCACTACAGAGTATAAATTAATAAGCCAAGATTCATATCCTACAGTGTAGTTAACAAGACAAATTACACAAGATAGGGGATAACATAAACAAACATTTAAAATATATAAGCAGTGCATTTAGGAATAAATACTCATATATAAATCATCACTTCAGCTAAGGATTATTTCACAGTTCTTCCATATGGTTTCCTAATCAGCTAAAACAAGATAGTGTTTAAATGAGTGGCATTACTCCATATTAAGCGCAACACGAATTTTCCAGATAAATCAAATTTAATCCTTCAAGAACCAAACAATTTTTTGAGTCAACCTCTGAGATCTCTGAAAACTGTGTTCTACCTTAGAAAAAATCCTAACATTCTTGCCTTAAAAATCAGAGTATATGGAGCTGTGGTAGTCATTAGGGACATTCATAAAGTTGAGCTGCTCCTTTCAGCCCATGGGAAGACTATACTTCTCCTCCCTCTTACAAGTTAAGTGTGGTCACTGACTATCTTTGGCCAATGAAATATGAGTCTAAGTGTCTGTGTCACTTCTGTAAGAAGCTTTAAGGGTCATCCTGTGAGTCACACGTTCCCCCTCTCACTACTGTAGTTATTACGCAAAACACGTGTTCAAATAAAGCCTCCCTCAGTCTCCCTCTGAGACACTCAAAGAGCAGAGACCCTTGCTGACCTATCTTGGACAAGTGGCATTATCTAGAAGTAATATTTAATTGTTTTAAGCCACTGAGCTTTGGGAGATGTTGGTTACTGCAGGAAAACCTAGCCTGCATTATACAGTAGTACAATTTCACCATTAATGGATAAAGCAGGGTCATTAACAGCAAGCAAGGTGTTGTTCTAAATTGGACATTTCACATTAAAATCCAGACTTCTGGCTTCTGTTGACAAATAAAAACTCTGACATGTTTATATATAGTTGCCCCCTTCACGACAGGCATGTATGTGTTCTCCAGGTCATGAGAGCTCTCATCACTCACCACAACTACACCTGAGCAGCAGCCCTCCCTGAGTGGTGTGTAGATACTTGAGTTTCGACCTCTATACTAAGCTGTCTACGCATGACTCAACTACTGGACAGGCTGTCCTTTACCAGAACCACATCTTATTTCCAGTTACAAACTTCAGCTACATGTGTAGCAACACAAAAAGTATGAGAGCACCATCAGTAAACTGCAAGCGTTAAGAAAACAGATTCCAGAATTAGGTTGCCTGGACTCAAATTCCAGCTCTAGCATTTTCTAGCTCTGCAACCTGGGCAAATTACTTAGCTTCCTCCAATTCCAGTTTCCTTATAAGCAAAGTGGGGATAACGCCTGTACCTACTTCATAGTGTCTGATGAGCTAACAAAGTGCTGAGACAATGTCTGACACCTGGCAAGCACCCAGTAAGCACTAGTTGATATTATTTTTACTACAAACACAAAGTGGTTTCCTCATGTACCCAGCCATCAGGGAAGTCAGTGAACATGAATGATAAGTCACACTTGTTCTGTGGACCTGGTTCCACCCAGGTTCTGTTTCTGATAAAAATCAGACCTCCAAAGAACAAGCAAATTTCCCCCCGTGAGTGCAGTTGTCTCATGCTGCCTGCTGTGCTCAAGCTCTTGGAAAGTTGTTCCCAGGAGCACTGTGACAGGTTCATTTAAATAAGCAAACTGTAAACATACTTGCAAAAATTATCTGAAGTCTGTCCCAAGTAAACATCAGGGCTCAGTTCACTGATCCCGAGGCAAGCAGTGAGAATCACACAGTTTACTTTCTCTCACCCTAAGGACTGCTGATGGCCACAGCCACACTGTAGCGAAAGGGAATTTACGTGACATTATCTTGTTGAAGGCAGGATACTGAATTCAGCTGAGAAGTGTCTGAGTCACTTCTGAGGAAGTGCATACAATCCTTTTTACCTGAATCGCCTTGCCAAAAGAGCACTTAGCTTTCAGCAACCAGGGGATCACCTGTTACTGCCCAAAGAATCTGCTCACCCATTAGAATGACAAAAACATGATAGGCAGCACACATTTTAAATGAACTAATTCAGCATTGAAAACCACCTTTATCCTGCAAGCCCCTTCAAACCTTGGAAACTACTGGAGCAAACTATGCACCTTAGACAATGACTAAGACGAGGGGGTCAGTGTGGTCAGTGAGCACAAGGAGAAGCCAGAGAAAGGGAACCAGCGTTGCCTGCAAGCCTCCTGTGTGACAGTTACTGTGCTGGGCTTGTGCAATGTTGTTCGTGAAAGAAGGAGTTTAATATAGGACCTACAAGGAGGATAATATCTCCCTTTTACATACCAAGGCTCAGA